CCGAGGTGTTCTCTGGTCGATCTGGTCCTCTGAAGCTCTTGTTGTGTGGATGGTTGACTAGCTGACGGGTACTTCGCTGGGTCGATTGTGCTGTTCGACGGGTTGCTTCGAATTCTTCCAAATGTAGCCGGCGAGCTCGTCACATGCAACCACATGATACTTCCCGCTTTTGGCAACTTTCAGATAGGGATTTGATGTCTTGCTGCATATAATGCTGATATCTTGGAGGCTTTCAATGGCTTGTCGGTCCGCGTCGTCAATATCAACCGACATCTCTAGATTGCAATCCTACAGGAAACTGGTCAGTACACGTCTTCAGAAGGGTTTCACGTGTGGGTCGACTCACACATTTCCATGTAAGACGACGATGAGTCTTAGGAGGTTTGGGTCGGATTAATTGGTTAATAAGATCCTCAAGTCGGTCCCCGCTCCCAGAATCGCCCTGGGCAGCAGTTCCAGAAGGCTGCTTCCCTCCTTGCAACGGGGGCGGCGCGAGGTTGTAGCCTCGCCTTTCAGGGGGTGTTGGTGGAGGCTGGAGCTTATTCTCAGGCGAGTCAGGGGTTGTGACTGATACAAGCGCCGCCGCCGCAAGCGCAGGCGCAATGGCCTGTCCAGGAGCCGAGCTTCCAGGTGCAGGCTGAAGCAGTGGCACGGAGGGGGCGCGAGGGGTACCATTGGGGCTCATGGTATTACTGAGTCGACGGGCTTCTTGGGGGCTATCAAGCTTGGGATAGTTGCTTTCTGATTCTGGTCGTCGGGATGAGGCACTCAGTGATGGGGACTGTTCGAGGTCACGAGAGAGACCATCAGAGCTGGGAGCATCGGTCATGGTGACGTCCCTGTCCCTGCTCGAGTAAGGTCGTTCACTGATCGTAGGAGGTTGGTCGACAAGAACATGACGGCCGTTACCCGCGTCCTTGATAATGCCTTCTTGAAGAGCCCAATTGGTCAGATCTTCATCCTCCCGTTCTTCCTTGGCTTCGACGATGTCGCGGGAGAAATGGCCCCCAACGTGCTCCATGCGCTCGTTCCAACTGCCTTCCCCTTCAAAGACCCTGCCACAGAAGCCACAGGTACTGCGCTGCGGAGGTTTTCTTTTCTCCATCCAGCAGCGGTTGCGCACTTCCTCAAGACTGTCCTCAAAGGCTCTCCAATCCTTGTCGCCGGCGTTACCAGGAACGATTGGGCCTGAGCCTGGACCAGTCTCAGGCTTGTGCATGCGTCGATGATGCTGGGTGAAGAGATCCTTCCGATTGAAGTCGTTGTAGACTCGTTTATGGTTGGGAACATTGGTGTTTAAGTCGGGGTTGCACGAGCCGACATCGCAACGGTAGAATCCCAGCTGAAGGTGCTGGATCGAGACATGACGCTTCCACTCGTTCTTGGAACTCAAGGCAACATCGCAGCCATAGTGTGAGAACGAGCAGATGAATTTGCGCTTCGCGGGTTCCGACCGCTTTGCTCCAGAACCAGGCGATTTGCGCGCACGAGGCTTCACGACGCGCCCGGGGTGGGTATCAGAACCGGAAATTGATTGCAAAGAGTCCTTCCGGGGACGTGGTTTGATGATGCGATCTGACGGGCTTCCACGTAGAGATGCAGAAGTAATGTTGATATTTGACTCACTAGCCATGATGGATGAGAAGATTTTGGAGTGAGACTTCTGGAGTGGTGTGGTTTTGGGGGGATGGGTGGTTGAAAAGCGGAGTTGGGCGAGTCAACCGACGAGGCGTGGCAACGAGGCGCGACACTGACGAGGCTTCGGGGGACTCGGGTCACTGTGGCGTCTCAATCAACATGGACCATCTTCTGACTGTCTAAGTGGTCAAGAGAGAAAGGTCGACGACCGGCGCAGTCGAGTTCAGTGATGAAATCGATGAAGGACTAGATGAATTTCCCGTAGATGAACAGTACCGCGACTGAGAAAAGCTGGGATCAAGTACAAGCTTGTGAAAAATGTGGCGAGGCCGCCAAGAAGATGGTGGGTGAAGGAAAGGTGGAAAAGGGAAATGCAGACGCAGGTTTCACGCGAATAAAGGTGCGTTGATGGCGTGGACTGCAGAAATGTGATGAAACCACACACGGGTGAACAATGTCTGGAAGGGAGAAGAGGAAGAAGGGGAAAAGGTGGGAGGGTGAGAGGAATTCGAACGAAGAGAGGGGATGCCGCAGCAGTGTGCAAATGAGATAGTAGAGGGGGGAAGAGGCTAGGAACTGGACAAGGCTTTAGCCTGAAATAAGGCTGCGGAGGGACCCTATTTTTCACTGAACGAGGCACGGTAACTCGACAACTGGGAGGGGGGCAGGCAGCGCAACGCGCAGGGTGGCCATCTTGCCATTGCGCACTTGCAATCAGCCTCAGGCATTTATTCTCGTCAGGCTCTCGCTTCAACACCCAAGTCAGGCTTCAAGAGATTGTCACTGGCTGGGTCTGAGAGAAGCTGCTTGTACGAGTTACTCCGAACCAACCTTCTTTTTCTCTCTCTGTCTCTCTTTCCTTTCCCCAAACTCAACAAGCATGCGTAGATGTACCATGTCTGTCTCTTCCCTCCGTGTTTACCCTAGATACGTACCTATCTCGTATCAATTGCACCATCCATTCATCACCTCATCCTCTAACGTGCAAACCTCAAACTTAACATACGGAATCGTGGACAGGAATCAGTGACGGAATCAAGCCACGGCTTATCGTCCACAGATTTGCACAACCCACAGAGTAGTGGCAAGGCCCCAATGCCAGCAAAGCTCCCTCGAATCCAAATGGGCAGAGATCTGCCGAGGCTGCACGACAAGGTGTGGTGCGAAAGCCACCCCAGCGAGGGTCTGCATGGCGAGGGAAAAGAGGGGGGGCGCAGCCCAACACACCGAGACACTATCCAAGGAAACACGCCGCGACAGGCTCTGATGGGACAAGGCTTTGGAGAATGGCCAGGGAAGAAATGATTGACTGGCCAGGCTAAAGCGCGGCCTTCCCACAAAAGATACTCCCTCCGAAAAGGCTAACTGAGAGACCAATGGCGACGGCAAACCGAGTCATTGCCTCCTCCTCCCCCCTAACAGGAGGGCAAGCCAGCCCATCAACTACTCAACAGCCCATCAGCACCAAATGCTACCGAACAGATACGAAGATTAAGGGATTCGAGGCCACCCTCCATCAAATCATAGGTTACCACTCGACCTTCCAAAAACTGCTGGCCACCATTCGCCGTTGTGCATGTCGCATTTGCCTCACTCCCATCAAGACCACTCGATCATGCCCAAGTGCGTTTGCTTCGGTCGATCCAGTTGCCAATCAATTCGTGTTGTCAGTGAGTGTACATAATGACTGATGCTTTTCAGGTCACTGATTCCCTTTTTTATCCTCTCAGCCTGGTCACTTCGAATGTATCACCTTTCAGCCTCCCCAACAAGGCTATGAAAGCCTTACCCCAGGTTAACAACTTGTGTGATTGTTGCCTCACGGCCAACCTGGAGTATGCTTGTCTTACTACGAGGAATTTCCGACTCGGCCCCCCGATGGGACCCCGATGACTTTGTCAGACTCAGCTCCCCTCACCCTGGCGTAAGGACTTTGTGGGTTTTCTCGGCACGACTATACCGAGTACATACCGCCAACGACGAATATGTTGGTACTCGATGTACGCGCAATGGGTCCTAGACTCGTTACATACGAAGTATTCGATACACGGCTATTGATTAATTCTTATTTCTCCTGGTCTCCTTATGCGAGATGGCTCCCAGATGTGTCAAAGCAATGGACAGCGTTCCAGCTGCAGCCTCGGCCCACTTCGTTGAGCAGGTTGGCTCTCCACTCTGATATCGGAATTTCCCAGCCACATGTCGGAATCGACTAGACGTGTTGCACCTTCCCTATTCAATCTCGGGATGGATGTCGTGTTATCGCAATGTCAAGCAAACACACCCACAACCACCATCACCATCACCATCACAGCTTTTAGATGACCCGAGGTACCATCAACTATTCCGAGAATGGAGATTAAGCCTTGGGCCATTGCCGACGCGGGCCAGCCATGCTATCCCGTCGGGAAATTGCACCCCCAAGTCCCTCGACAATCGACACAACTCTCTCTCCTGTCCCTTTGTCTGACCTTTCCTGTACGCGGGATAGCCCTCTACCCCGCACTTGTATTGGGGCACATGCACAGACCAAGTCGACCTGCTCATGGCAAAGCCTTTGGACCTTCGTCCTTTCACTCGTGGGAATTTGGCGGCCTCCGAAGCGAATTTCCCACCGTCCACGCGCGGAATTTCGGCTGGAAGTCACGTTGCATCCGCCAAGCGCAATTTTCATTCTTCCATCCGAACTGAATGCGGAGAATAGATTCTCCTTCTCCGCGCTTTCCACCGTTTGTTGATAGGGCTGCGGTACAGCCTTTTTGCAAAATTCTCTGCCTCTTCTCCGCCTCTTGTTTTCTCCTACGTAACTCATTCCTCCTTCGACCATTCCATGACACATAGTTGATTCTTTCTTTGCAACAATATCCAATCTTTTTGACGCCTTCTGACACTGCGCCAGGAAGCCTCAGCACGTCCAGGATTTTCAGTTGCTCGTGATCATGAAAAGAGTTGATGCAATTGCCCAACTTCGCCTACAACTGATGTCACTCCCCTGATGAGCATGACGCTTTGGATAGCCACGTCGTCTGCGTGCTGATTTTTCACCAATCGTACAGCCGACCGGCCCCTTCGCTCCCTCTGAGCAAATTGAAAATTTTTTTCCACTGCTGCCGTCTTGAGGTTCTAGTATGGAACCCTTACCCCAGATTCTGTGTTTATAAAAGGCCCAGACTGTCTGGGAATCCGGGGTCGGTCTATCACATGGAACAAGCATTGACACAAGCATTCCGAGTTTACTTTGTTCAAAAAACATAATCTTATCTACATATTTCCCTTCACAGAGATCTTTCGATATCAGGGGGTATCAAGTCTTCCTTCCGCTCCTACTGTAACAAATTTGTCAAGGCAACCAGAAAAACACAATGTCTGCTGCTGGCCGGACTTCCGTGTCCTCCAACACCTCTGCATCGTCCGTTACTGAACCCTCGCCCCGACAAGTCTCGTCAATTTGCTATCCAAAGGGCAAGTGGTACGATTGCCTTCGTCCAACAACCACGCCTTATGCAGGCTTTGGCAACCTGACCAATTTTGCGAGCATGTCCAGCAACAGATCTGCGAAAGCAGCTGGAGAGGATTGGACGAGGGAAGTCTACGGAAAGATGAAGTAAACTTTCACCGATGATTTTATGGTCTTTACGGACGAGAAGGATATGGAAGAGTCTTTCGGGCCTCTAAACTACCACGGACTACCACTTGGCAATATGACTGTCACCCTCGCCTTGGTGGCCTTGACCCATACTGAGATACGAGGCTGAACGCGACGACTTTCTTTCAGGATCAAACCGGCACGAAGGAATAATTGAAACTACGGACGACTGAACGTGCGCTGCACTTTCTTTTTTTGTTTTACTAGCATGTTGATCGATGGAAAGATGTGTTCTACCAAGGTTTAACGATGGCGTTGACAGGTGCTGTCGCCTTCTTCATGAGTGGATGCGCAATATCCTTTACGCGTTCTCCAAAGCCAGGTCTACACATGGAATGACGGGCAAATGGAGTTTACCTGGATAACAGCCGCTAGCAGTAACTTTGCTTGATCCAGCTTTATCATTCTGGTTCTTTGGAATGACCGTCGATCTACCGACGATCTTGTTGTATCATACTCTATCTGCTTTGTTTTACAGGTCCGTCGCGATATCCAGCGACATTATCTTGTTGTGGTGATAGCCACTTATTGTATCTCGCCGTTTGGGTCTCTATCGCCTGAGGGTCGATCAGCACGATCCAGAACGGCATCGTCCTTCGTTTCTTCCATCTTTCCAGAGGAGTCAATGGCAGAGCCTGGATCAGGCAGATCTGTCATTTCCGCATCTTCGATGTTGGAAACTGTGGCTATCTCTGGCAAATCTGATGTGCGCTGCTGCGAGCCCGTCTCCGGATCAGACACCGTATTGCCTGTCTCTTCTTCGTCTTGTGGTTGTGTTCTCGCATTGTCGCGGCGGTTTCCTGCCTCTTCCTCAGTTCCATTCTCACCCCCTTCGGCCTTTGCTCTGTTCTCTTCCGCTTCAGCTTCAACTTCTCCGCCTTTTTCGGCTTGGTCGTCAAGGGTGTCCGCTCCCAGCAGAGCCTTCAAATCACCACCATACTGGACCTTCTCGCACATGACGAACCGATTCTTGCTGGCACGCAATGCCCTCCACACCTTTCCAGCCTTTCTCTCCTCAATCTCTTTTTTCTCGTCCTCCGTCATCGCAAAGTCCATGTCCAGGTCATCCCTATCAATGCCCCTGTAGTATTCCTCCAAAGTGGGCACCCGATGGCGTTTTGATGGATGCTTGAGGGCTTCGAGAGGTTCAATTTTCGAAAGAAACGCTAGGTCATTTGCCCCTGGTGGATTGACAAGGGGTGCTCGCGCGGCCTCAGCCAGCTTTGTAAGCGTATCACGAGATTCGAGATAGATCCGTGGCGAGACACTGTCGCGCGATATTGATGGACAGTTTTCAGCTTTCCATCGTACCCAGTTTTTGTCTCTCGACAAGATTGTATCGACCATGCGGTAGTAGAATTTGCCTTCGTTGCCGTTTCCACCTTGTTGTAAATAAGCTGCGATTTGAGAACGAGTCGAATATGCCCATTTGGTGTCATCTTCAGAGAGTATGTAGGAGTATAGCACGGACTTGTTAGTCAGGCCTTCAAATTTCGTTTTGACACCTGGGGAGAGACTGAGCAGGAAGTCGAGCATGATCAGTGCCTGCACAAGGATGTGTCTGCGAAAGGCAATATCATGAATTTCGAGATCAAATAGATCTCTGTTTGTCAGATATTTGGGGCTGAACGTTGAAGTCAAGGCTGATGTCTTATCAACCTCATTGCGTTTGCGCTTCAGACCGCGTTTCACATCGGTAGGGTTAGTAGAAGAGCCAGAACTATTCGAGACAGACTTGAAGCAGGAGAGTGTCTGTCCGATGCCGTCTCTGAACGCACCCATGTTGGCAGAGTCGAAAAGCTTCGTTGGTGCAGAAAAGAAGGATTGGAGCGACCAGAACTTGGGATACAGGACGTCGAGATCGGGGGGCTGCTCTTTAGGCTCGGACGTGGAGTTCTTAGGAACTGGTGTGTTTCTTGCCACCTTATCGTGATCCTGAACTTGACTGCTCGACGCAGGAGTATGAGTTCCAGAGGTTGCTTGTGGTATGCCGGTGTCGATTTCCATCGGCTTGATCGCATCTTCCGATTTGATAGGTGTCGGATCGAAGGCAGTAATGTTCTCCACGTGAAATTCACCACGTAGATTGACCGAGCTCTTGTCGCCAAGGGGAAAGCTCTGGAAGAGGAATATGAAGACTCGTCCACAAAAGACGGTGTCTTCAGCCCGCGATAGCCTCCTGAGTAGCTCATTGCAACATCTCAGAATGACCAAGTTCTTCTGTTTAAAGTGCTTCGCCGTCATCCTTTCTCTCCGTGATTCCAGGTAGTCGAAGACTTTCCTGCAACCCTCAATCGTTTGGCTGTCCAGCAGCTCTTCGATGAGCCAGAAACCCAACCCCGGCTCGCACAATTCGTTGTCGGATAGGATGTTGATAATGTCTAGAAGCACCCAGACCTGGGCGAATGCCGGCGCTGAGATATCAACTGTCGCAACTATGTCGACAACAGTGTCGCGACAGACTGTTTCGACTGCGGCATTGTGTATTTGGATTGTCTCCGTAGAGACTGTATCACGAACAGCTTTTATGCGGTCAAGCAGCTCCGCGCAGTCTGCCTCAAGAACGAGGGTATCAATGTCACCATCCTCCCGTGCTTCAGTAAGGCGTTGAATGCAGGACTCGATCAAGGATTTGTAGGTTGCGACGCAGGGAACGTTGGTAGCTGCCATGTTGTCGCGAGGTTGGTGGTCGGAGAGGTGACTGTTGGTCCGTTTACATCAGGAGCAAGGCCGTTCAACCCTAACAATCATTGAGGAGGGATTGCCCTTCACGTAGAAAGCGTCATCGTCGTGGAAGGGTAGATGATAGATTTGCGGCACAGGCGTGGCAGGTCAAGGAAACATCAACTATGCGGCTCTGCGGAGAAGTTAAATTCTCGGCGCAGTTTGTAAACTCCACAAGACTCGCTGTCCAACCTGCGCGTGACGCTTTCTTGTGCCCACGAACCACGTCTTTTCATGGTCAATGGGCCTTCAACTACGGCCGGCGATGGCTCCAGCCCTCGATGTGCAAGCCGGTGTCAGCGTCCCAAGTGAAAACGGTGTCAACAGCTGGGAAGAGCTGGCTAAAAAACTGTGGTGGGATAGAGATACTGCACCTACGAAGGTCAAACCAGAAGTGATCAAGACAGCAATTTGGGATCCCCTCGAACAGGACTCTTTCCCATTCAACTCTCTCGCTGTCCTCGAAAACCATCAGATTCTCGAAAGATTTCTGTGGCCGACTTTCTCATCGGAGTCTTCCAACCACCATGTCTTGCTCATCGTCGTCTTCTTTAATGTGAAGCAACGCGCTCGGCTCCACGACTGGCTCTTGTTCAACGACCGCCCGGCAGAGTTTTCAAACCTCCTTCGCCGAGTCCTCTCCTTGAACCTCGATCCCTCTTTATCCATCTTTGCCCGATTGTCGCTCCTTCATTTTGTGCTCGGTGCGTTTCAGTCACTGGAAAATGAGCACGTCCGCAAAGAGTGCGCCCCACTGGTATCGATCGCAACATGGCACAATCTACATGACGAAAGAACAAGGGAACAACTACTGGAGGCGAGCGCGGCGAGGAAAAAGGCGTGGAGAGCCGCTGCGCGGAGATATGATGCGGCTGATCCAGAAGCTCAAAGCCGTTTGCGCTTCGATCGAGCATGGTTGTATACGATGCTGATTGACTTCACTGCAAGGCTCAACGTGTCAAAACTTGCACACTCTCAAGAAATGGTCTATTGTGAGCGATTTGTGGAGTTTTTGATCGACCTGACAAGTCAACTGCCGACCAGACGGTACACGAATCTACTATTGAAAGACGTCAACATTATCCCCGTGATTCGAACATCAAAGCTGTACCAAAGAGAGGACGCTGTGCTCTTGCAAGACTTGACCCGTCTGCTCGAACATTTCCAGTTTTTTGCGATTGATGAACTGGGAGGTACAGAAGAAAGTCATGATGGCTTGCGCAGAGCACATTATCAAGCCTTGGAAAAGCTGCAGCGAGTGGCGCTACAGCACTTTGGAGACAAATTAAAGGTTTTGGCACTGTCAAACTTCGGATCCATTGACAAAAGAAGCGAGCTTGAATCTCACTTTTCTACATTGACGGATACCGAGCTGCAGGGGCTGTGTATGCAGCTTGGGTTTCGAATCAGCTATCCCCCGGCTGCGGGAGTCTCTGCAACTCGTGCGCTCTTGATGGAGGTTCTCTTGTCAACCTACGCCAAACCTCGAGACTTCCGCGAGGTTGTTGGTCAGCTAGCAGTTCTGCCCACGGCTAGCTCCCTGTATGACCCAACTTTACTGAGGAACGAAAACTATGATGGCTCCCGGCCCCTTGGAATTCCCAAGCTTAACCTGCAATATCTCACTCTTGGTGATTTCATGTGGCGTTCATTCCAGCTCTATCAAGCCGAAGCTTTTTATGGGATAAGGAAGGATATGGAAAGCATTATCAGGCGGATGAAGCCGAAAGGCGCCCGGGATCGGAGCACGACAGCCTTTGAAGGGGTTTCGAAAATGGCTCTTCCGATCGCAGAACCTGCAGTCATTGAAGTCGGACCGCCGAAAGTGGGATATCTGAAGCCTAGCTTTGTGCGAGTCGAAGTCATCCTAGACGTTAGCCGGCTTGCGGACGGTATCAGAAGAGAATGGGACAATCTCAAACCACACGACGTTGTATTTCTCTTGGCGGTTGATGCGACCAATTCTTCTCAGCTTCTTACCAATGGCCAGGCCAACGATCACGGCGAACAAAGAATGTTCACCAGTCTTAGAGCGGCTGAAGTATTCCAGATCCTGGACGATGATGGGAGAGCTCTGAGAGATACGCGAACAAACGGGCATAGCTCAAGACCTAAGAGGAGGCGTTTGCTACTCGATTTGGACACAAGCTCATACGCTGTCGACAAGCAGAATTCACGCCGATTTGCCTCAGAAATTGCGTCACTGAATGTTATCGCTCGTAGACAAGGGCGAGAAAA